TGGATGTCATGCTGAGAACATTGTCATCGATTTCACGACAAGTAATCATCGGTTTCATAGCATTGCCATCGGTTTCACAACATTGTCATCGATTAGTCGTGTGATTCGCGGATGGCAGTGGCGTTGGGAAAACATCACGTGTACTAACTTGTGCAAAAAAACTGCGCAAGTCTACTTGAGACAGGACGCATGAAAGTTGAGGACAGCCCGGGACAAAAAACGGCGACTTTGCGCTGGCGCTTGGGTTTCGGCAGATTCGGCTTTAAAAATGAAAGGATCCGGGACCCCCAAAAAACATCATCGAACAAGCAAAAGTACTGAGAGGGCTTACACTTTTGAATCAAAATTTGCACGACTACACGTGCGATTCCACACCCGGCTCGATGTTTGTATAGCTGGAACTAACATGGAAGTGGAGAATGGCCCCTTGGAAGGCCATTTCCCACTTCCATGTTAGATCGTAGAGTAGTGGGGGCCCATGAAAAAAAACACCGCGACTCCTGGCCTTTTGTGACTCGCTGAATGTATCTTTTGTTTAAACACCTCCTTGCACTGGATTTGCGCAAAAAGCGTCCCGCGAACCGACCACAACGGATTGACTTCGACCGGTCCTTCGACGCCGTCCGACGACTTCGAACCCAGTCCTGCACTCCGCACCGTTCAAACATCCTCGGTCACGTGGGACGACGGTGCGGCACGTGTGGGCCGGACCGGTGGCTGCCGGTTCGGCGTCTACCCTTTTTGAAGATCTGTCAACAGAAGCATGGGGGACTCACCAGAATTAGATACCAAAATTGAGTTCCTTTCAGGAAGCCACCCTCAAGTCTCAAAGGTGGTGCTATGCACCCCACCAAAAGCCATATCCCTAAGAAGGCCAAACCAGGTTTACTTGCCTGTTTCCCGTGACCCTGGATACCTGGTAACTTTGGTTTGTAAAAGCAGGTGTGGGGAAGTTGAAGTTTGGTTTCCTGGGTTGTTGGTGTCCGCCGTCACCAATTAAATCTATACTAAACGTACTAAAAGGACTGAGACTGGCTCCAAACCTGAAGAAGTCAGCCGCTTGTAGTCCCCTCCGTGGCCCTCCGAAACAACATAAATAAACCTCTCAACAGGAATGGTGAGACGTGGCACCGAACCTTTTCAGGAGATTCCTAGATTCTCAGACCACATCCAAAGGCAATAAACCCTAAGTGGCGGCCAGACTGGCCTGCCTGGCAGGTGAGGTTGGATACGTGGTGACTCTAGGTGGGAGGTGGTGGGCTATGGTTTTTGAGGTTTCTTGTGCTGGCGTCAACCCTCGTTAAATCCAACCAAAACTGAAGCTTGACACCACTCCACCCTTGCTTGCCCATACTGGCAGGCCTACGCCTGTGGCCCCCCCCCACCTCTACAGGAGCTTCCCAGTGGTTTTGCTTCCCTTTTGGTGAGTGTTGATACCTGGTGACTTTGGGCTGTGGAGAGGGGTGCTAACAATGAGTGGCCCTTCTGATTAGTTATGTGGGATTAACTTAAGTTGCCACGGGGACAACCTCATAAACATCAGGTGCCACCCTTGGGTCAAACGAAAGTAATGGTCAGCTCAGTCAGCTCTATCTAAGGCCTGGAAATTAATGTTCTTGCGAAGACTATCAATTTCTGGCTCTTATGGAGAAACTTCCCTCCCTCACTTGTCGATTTTAGGATGGCGCTAGGTGTTCGGCCCATCATCTCCCGACCGCGCACGGGGTCGGTGACGGTCAGCTCTCAACGCCGGTGGCCGGTGACGGTCAGCTCTCCCACACCTTCTCATGAATTGGGCGTTGGAGTTCCACACCTTCTCCCTGTCTTGCTGGAACCAGGCAGCAACTTCTTGTTGCAAAAGGCACCTTTTCACATCACCCCACTACAGCCTGAAAGCCAGCCAGCCATCATGTCTACTCCTTCACAGCAGCCACAGAAGCCAGTCGGCACGACAGCTGCGGCGATGTCCCACCACTTGGCCAGTCTGGTTGTGGCAGTCTGGTTGAACCTAGTTCACATTGTAGGTGACTTTATACCTTCAGAAGGTGGCACGGTGCAACCTTGTCCTTATAGCGAAACCGATGGCACAGCCGCCGCCTTATGCTGTCAAGTCAACTTTCCAAAATTGAGCTGGCACATGGTGGCACTGTACAGGATGCGCGTCTGATTGGTCAAAGCTCGCTTGCTAGGGTTCCCGAAAACCAGTGTCTTCCAGGCAAAGGGTGTTAGGCACAAGACGTCACATGAGCCGTGGTCAACATTTATTACATCAGGATTTGTTCAGTGTCTTTTGTCAGACAAGAGTATGTCAGGTTAGACACCACCAGCTCACACCTTTTTTCGTGTATGGTCAGCTCCAGCCCGGGCCAGGGTTGTCAAGTGAGCGCCCGGTTGCTGTGCACACCCTAAGCCTATCAAGGCCGCTGGAGCAAAAACTAGTGGCTCAAAAAAGGACGAATATGGAAATGGCGAAGAGACTGCGCCAAAAGCTTCACTCATTTCTGCTCACTGTGAAGAGAAGTTTTTCAGCCCTTGGCATTTCCAATCTATTCAAAAAACCAATCTTCTACATGGCATTTCGTTCCATTCTACACCCCGTGTGCGGCTGCCATGGTGCCTTTCCCTCGGTGGGGTCATGAGAAACTGCCGCACACTTCTTCGTACTTCTCTCCATCCACCGACAGTGTGGCTCCAACCCGTGCAGAGCACGGCAACGGAGGCAGAAAAAATGGGAATGCCAGTCGAAGCTTCGAAATACTGTGAAAACCAGCTTTCATCCCATGCCAAAATCTTCAGCGCCGAAATATACCTGTATGAGCGGACAACTGGTTGGGGGATCCACTGGCTACTGCACGACAGGCTATAACAAAAACACCATCCGTAGCCAATCAAAATCCCAAGCAGAAGGGCCACCACCCAAAAGTATCCCTTGGTTTTATGCCCTTGCTCCGTTCAGTCCCCCTGCAACAGCCCGATGATCTGCTTCACCGCATCTGCTTTGAGCCGAGGGATGGGAGCGTCACCGCCTTGCAGTTGGCCAAGCAGCTTTTTGACAAGCGGCGGGGGGTGTGACTCGAGCTGTTCGTGCACCTGGTCCCAGCCTTCAACGTCTCCAGAGACCAAGGCGACAATGCTGCCGTTGTCACTTAACACTCTGGTCTGGGCCAACATGCACTTCTTCGATTTTGGCGTCATGGAGATGGTGCTCACAGCTGCTTCTTCGGGGCGGGTCAGCGCCCGGCCCTTTCCATGGGCTACACTTTCCATGCTGTTCAAGACCTCTTGCCTCACTTTCTCTAACTCGGCTTGCCGGCGGAAGGCGCGGAGCTCCTCAAGTTCAGCACCGGACAGAGACGGAGCGCTGTCTTTCCTGCTGCCCTTCTTTTCGTTCCGTTCCTTCTTCTTCGAAGACTTCCTACTTTTGTGCCTTCGGCAGGAAGACGACGTAGAGGAAGAAGACGAGGAGCTGGACGACCTTGCCCTTTTCTTCTTATCTTTCTTTCGTCCCTTTTTAGCAGGTCGGTGATTATTCTTGGATATTTTGGCAAGCGCATCGGGGCGCATCGAGGTCTTTTCTTTTCTATTCTTTTCTTGAGACTCCGCATATTTGGTTCAGAGTTGACCAATGTCGACCATACCTTGCATGTATGGGCCAGAACCCAAACCAAACATAAGCCTAACGCCGTCGCCAAGCTGCCCTTTGGCTTCCAGAACCACGCGCAAGGCTTGCAATACCCCGCCCTCAGTTTACGCAGCACGATGAACATGTCAGTCAACAACCGTTTCTGATGGAACACCTGCGTACTCGATATCAAGCTTAATGCATGTTACGCAATATAACTAATTAGCGGTTCAGAGATTCAGAATGCATAATTTGCCAGAAATATACCTTAAAACCCTAGTTAATTTGCACCAGAATTAGTGGTTCGTACACACTTTCTTGCGAACCAGGTCAACCATTTCAAAACCCGAGACGGTTAAGTCACAGCTTGCCAAAGTGATAGTCAAACGATTCGCAATCCAATGGTTGGAGTTGGAGGTTTGATGGGCCACACAGAGAACCTAGAGAACCACCCTAAGAATCCGGACCCTTCTCCAATGGAAAGGGTGTTTGGGTCCAGACCCCTGCCATGGAGGGTGCCGTTGTCTTAGGGTACCTTGAAATACACGAGCTTTCTCCAGAATGATTGCTTCCGCAGGAATACTACCATAAACACTCCATGAAACTTGCATCGTTGCCCGGAAACGGCAAGGGTGGGCTTTTCAGGAGTCAAATTGATCGCGCAAAAGGGGACCTCTTCCAGTCCCAAACAGGTCGTGTCCGCAATCGAAGGTCAAAAAAAAATGAAAACCGTACCAGGACACCCTAAGGGGGTGTCCATTGATAGCCCCAAACAGCTGTTATGATTCGGGGTGTCCATGAAAACCACCCAACTCCTGGGGGTCCTGGGGCGGTGACCCTCCCACATCACTGGCCATCCTTAAGAACACCAGAATGGCCAAGTAGTCCATTCCCCCCCGGTCCCAAAGGCGAAGTACGGCCCTTTTCGAGTTGGTGCATCGCTACTGAGGCTACGAATGCGAACGGGGCCCAGGTGCATCGCTAGGAGGAAACAGGTGCATCGCTACACTTACCTCACTCCACCGAAACGGGGTTTGAGGGCCCGAACCAAAAGCCTAAGAAGCTACGAGTAGCCAAGGCACCGGACACTAACTGGTGCCCTCATGTGATGCCCTTTCATCTATAGCCGACGGTACGTTGGGCATTTTTTTCGAAAAATTGGAAGATCTCGTCAGATCATCCAATATTGGCACATACAAGGCCAAGAACTCATTTTCAGTACCAGGTTGGGACCTGTGTCAGACTGGACCTGTTTTGGGGGTTATTGTGGCTATACCTGGCCAGATTTAGCAAGCTCCACTTATGCTTAGGACCAAATCCAAGTTCCGAAAGCACCAAAGGCCAACCCGCCCGCCAAGCGACGAGTGCAAACGTGATCCAACTGAGATGTCGTTCAGCGCAGTCCTGCCCGGCATTGTCACTTAATTGGCTTTCTTATGCTTTCTTACCATAACAGTTAGCCATAACATACATCAACAAGTGACAGTGACAGTATTACTGTGAGGTACTGTTGCGACTGTTCTACTTCAACTACCTCCTGCGAAAAGGCGGTTGGGGTATGTTGGGGTAAGTTTGGTGCGTCTATGATGGTCTAACTACCTTCGGATGTGGTCAAAGCCCTAGGAATGCTTCGCAAGACCACTTTGGTATTCTGGTGAATGTTCCGGTCATGATGGGTACAACCATCCGAAACCTGGTATTCTCCAGCAAAACACCTAGCTTTTGAGTATATGCACATCTGTATTTTTCATGGTTTGCTTCGGGCCCCTCCTTCACAGTGACTGCCCTTCCACCGACCACCGACGCGAGCTCCGAACGCAGCGACACCCAGTGAGCTCTGGGTGTGCAGATTCCCTGGGGATGATGATGGTTGTGTAGCAGGCCTTTCCATCTCAAAAATAGTGATATGATCGACTGTTACAAGTCATGGGACACACGTCCTGGACACACACTATACATAGCATAGATCTATATCATCAATAAACATCCATCGGCAAGAAAAATACATCTCCCAGACTCAGGCGATTCACCGCACGTCTGGCGCCGAAAAGGAGCTTCTGGTTCCGATCGTTGCGTCGCGGAGCCCCGGAGCCTTCGCTTTCGCGTTTTGCGTGACTGAAGTTATTGCCCCTAGGGCTCCTGGCCCACCTCCTGAGGTGACCGGTGGTTGGGGTGTGGTTTGGGGGTCTAACCACCTTCTGAGGAGATGGTTGGAGCCCTAGGGTGCCAACCCCGTTTGAATTCATCAGATCGAGGTCAACATTAGCGTCCGAAACAAAGACCAGGGACTCCGTGACAGTGACCCGGGAAGTGATCGCGCCTGCCATCCTTAAATTTGATCGGTTCGCTCTTGGTCTTCGACATCACATCGTCCCTGTCATCCGAACGGTCGCCAAGAAGCGGAACACCCTCGGCAGGGAGGCTGCTTTCTTGAGCTGCCTGGTTTCATCTAGGCATGCATAGCCTACATGCACCCCCGAAAACCCCACGGCATAGATCCCATGCAATTCAGTCAGTGTCCTATTTTTGAGGCCCAAAACCATGTTTTTTTGACGAGGAAAACCCAGGTTTTGGATGGTTTATGGGGCCCCTGGTGGGTTGTGTTGCCTCTGTTGCCTCTGCAGATTCCGTCTGACATGTTGAGGCTGAGGAACCTCACGTTCCCCACGCAAAAGGCATATATCTGCATGTGCCAAGCAAAGGTTGTGTGGAACATGTGCAAAGCAGCATGATGACTCGAGTGATGATATCATATGATATCTACACGCCAAACTCTCTCAGTTTTAAGGAGAAAAGGGCAAACATCCATCTCAAGTTTAGTGGGAACACATGTGGACTGGTCACTGGTGTCCCCATGAGACTCCCAGTGCAGCGCCACGCCTGTGGTCGGGGACGCATTCGAGGAATGTCTTCTTGACGATGAAGTGCATCTGCGGCTCATCCTCCAAGACCCACCAGCACACCCAAATCACACTCTCAAGAACCAGGGAATGCCCACCATACGGCTGAACCAGGGGATCGATTTTTTGACATCTGTTCATTGTTTTGTTCCAGGGCTTCTTGGCCAGCCAGTGATTTACGTCATAATCCCGCACACTCCATGGCACCTAACACTCCGTCAAACTCACACGGGGACTCACAATATTGACGTCACAAAATGGGCCAGGAATACCAACCTGTCCACTGTCGACTGTATATCGGGTCATGTCATGTCTCATCTTCTTAGGGTAATCAATGACTTGAAGCCCGGTCCAGGTGTGGCTGCCTGCGATCCCACAGTGTTGAACACTGACGGCCGATTCACCCGACCGCCCCTTAGATGGGCTACCTCTGTGTGGGTTCACGCGACCCGCACCGGACTGGGTCGGTTGAAGTGGGTGGTGAACGGACTGGGTCTATATATGGATCCGCCAGCTCCCAGATCAACCACCCTGATTGGGGACATCTGCAAGTCCGGGAGCAAGTGTTGTGGGGGATGAGTCATGTTGAGTCATTGATCAATGATGCCCCCAAGACGGATCCAAGCAAACCACTATAGTGGGTCCAAAGACTCAATCTATATAACTATACCTAGAAACCTGGGTTCGCAGGGATGCATTGGGGAGATGGCTGCGTCGTCGCCCCCTGCTGAAATCAAGAATCTACTTTTTAAATGGACGAGTGAACTTGCACGGCGGTCAGGCACCATACGGATTCCGATCATCGATTGCACACCCCAAAATCGTCGCCGCAGTGCCAAACACAGTCTTTGCAAGCATCGATTAACCCCATTGTATGGAATAGTTGCCCGGTTGGAACTACCAGGCGTACCGTATACTTTGATATAACAGCACCCAAGTCTACAGGTCACCACCTTCCACTTGAAGTCTCCATTTCAGCCACCCTTTTCGAGACATGGATATAGAGTCGGGTGCTGGCATAGAAGTATCCGAATTACGAATCGAGAAAAGGTGGTGTAACTGTAACAGTGCCAAACCCAGTGGCTGGTGCTGGCTGGTAGCCACCTCAATAGGCTTAGGCAGGCCAATCATGGGACTTGGAAGTTCGCATGACCCTGACGTAGTCATACGTAGTCTCGGTCTCCCGCTCTGGATCCATGTGCCTGGGTCGGGGGTCCAGTGGTGCCTGGTCCAGTCGAAGGCATGTGGAGGAAAACAACAGCGAACCCAAACTTTCGCTCCATCTTTCGCGGAGCAAACCCCCGTCCCCTTGGGCTCTCCATGGCAGGGGTCGGACCCGACACCTTCGCAGGGGTCCGGACCCTCATAACCCTATGTGTTGGTTCGGGCCCGAATTCTTACACCGGGCACCTGCCACCAGCGCCAGGCACATGGCTCCCCACCTCCGACTCTTCGGACGCCGAGGAAATCTCGGGGGTTTGCTCCAACCTGGCAGCCGACTCTACACCGGCACGGTCGTCACGAAACGAAACGGTCGTCACGACCGAAGTGGGTCCCATGGAGCCGTCCTGGGTTGTGAACGTCCCGAACGCTGTGAGTCGACCAGTGAAAAACGCTAAACGCTGTGGGGGTCGTTTCCCTGGGTTGTTTTCAGGTTGATGGCGTCCAAACTTACTTTAAAAACATACATTTCATGTATGTTCATGTTCCCTACCGGGGGGGGGGGCGCTCGCTGATTAGGGGGCCCTCTGGGGGAGTGTTCCAAGACCTATTGAGCTTAAATTTGCTAGTGCTAATGTCAGCGCCCCCACACTCTGACACTGGTTTTCAGTTAACGCAAGTCACGTTGGGAAGGAAGGTGAGAGAACAGAAAGGTGCATGGGTCCGAGCACTTGAAAGGTTTAACAATGTTGGCACAGAACGGCGGCGCAGCTGCTGGGGACGAGTGGGTTTGTGGGGAGTATCATGGAAACCACCATGAAAACAAATCGAGAGTGGAAAAGCTTGGTCAACAGTTGAAGGTGCAGGTACACAGGGATGATCAGTCCCTGCATCCTGGTCATCTGCATAGAGCTTCGTTGGCGACAGCTATGCAGTGACCCTGTCGCCCCCTGCCGATGTAAGGTGGAAAGAGTGGTGGTGAAAGACCCTTTGTCCAGGGTGGGACACACACAGATCGCCGCATTCGGCGCTTTTTTTAAAAACCGGTGGCAGGCGTGGTAATTATGCCCCTTTTGGACATATAGGTTCACGAGTTCAGCCGCAGCAGCGTCAGCGCTGGAGGGTGGAAATGTGTATTTTCGAATGGTGTGTAGTCGTGATTGGAGGCCTGATAGAGCCAAGCGCTGGCTCCCGGCGGTTGTGGAATCCCGGATTTTCCAGGGTTGAGAAGGTTGCATGTAGGTGATAGTGCGTTGTGGGAGGTCGATGTTGAAACCGAGGAGATGAAAATCCTCCACCGGTTCTAGTTCCACAGGGTCGCCAAAGAAATTGTGGTGGATAAGGGTTTCGATAGCCGGGTGCTGAAGGAAATGTTCGTTGTGGACAATGAAACGGTTGTCAACATAGCGATAGTAAGTAAAGTGGAGGTCCGTGTGTTGAAGGAGGTTGTTGTGTATCTGATGCCAGGAGTGCTCAATGAGGGTGATGGCAACGTTGCATAGGGCTGGAGAGAGCTGGGATCCAATCCCGGCCCCTCGGATTTGTTTGTAAGTGTTGTTGCAAGCCCGGAAAATGCATGTGTTGAGGGCAAAAGCCACAATGGTGGTGATGTCGGAAGTCTGGATGGTGCGTTGGGTAGGGTGTTTGCGATGGTGTCTGCCAATGTGGGAGTGGTGGAAAGGGTTGCCGGTGGCCTGGACATCCACCGTTAAGGTGTGTGTGGATTGCTGTTGTTGCCAATGGAGGACAAGGGAGTGGACTGCATCGATGAGTCGGTGCTGGGGGACGGAGTTGAAAAAGCCGACCAGGTCATCGTTGGTGGCGTGCAGTGAGATGTCGAGTGGGGTTTGGGTGAGGTAACTCTGAAAGTGGTGCCAAAGCTGAGGAATGGACATTTGGCCTGGATGCTGAGGGTAGAGGTGTTGGAGGATAATGTCCAGGGCACGGCTGGTGATGCGTAGCAAGTTGCCGCTTAGTGATTGGAAGTAGGATATAATTGTACGGCCTTTTTGCCAGTGCTTCTTCTCTTTGAGGTGGACAACACCGTAGGGGATGTTGAAGTCTTTTCGGAAACCCCACTTGTAGCGGGTGCGCAGGATGGGGGGGGACGGTGGCAGCCAGGTGGTCATGGATGTTGGCGGCAGTGATGTAGGGAAGTGGTTCAAATAGTTCGGGGGATTGCCAGGTGTTCAAGGCGCCAGTGAAGTATTGGCGAGGGCAGAACAGTCGGAGTTGTTGGAGCTCATGATCGGCATGGTGGAGTAATGTGTGTTTACCCAAATGTTCTTGGAGTTGACGAAGCAGGCGGGCCGTAAAACGGGGTTGCTGCTTGAGGTGTGTGTTGTGAAGGCGCCATTGGTGCTCAAGGAAAGGCTGTAGGTGTTGAACTAGGGATGGTGGAAGCCCTTGTAGTTTGAGCCATTTGGTGTAGGCCGTCTTGAAAATGAGGAAGTACCGAGCTTTGCTTGGGTAATAGGTGCTGTTCATATTGGCGTTGAGAAAAATGCTGAGGTGTGTAGGGAGTTGGAGTTGGTCAAGTGTAAGGATGTAGTGGCCGTTGATGGTAGGGGTAGCGGGATCCTGCAGGAGGGTGCGAAGGTGATCGCATGCACAGGGGAGGTCTGCTGGATCTGGCGGGGAGTGGAGGGTGTCCTCCCATGTGCGATGGTTGTGCAGGTGGGAGCGGAGGGTTTTGTGGGCGGCTTCTCTCAGTCTGTGGGAGGGGAGGTGGAGGGGAATGGTGAAATGCTTGTGCTGCTGGATGGTAGTACGAAGCCATTGTTGGCAGTGCTTGGTAAAGTCGTCATGGGCCAAGAAGGGCACTGTCAATGGGATGTTTGGTTTTGGTGGCGTGAGGTTGCGGTAGATCAAGGCTTTGTTGAGGATGTGAAGAGCTCGGCTGCGGCCAGGTTCCTCCAAGTTTGCGGCCATGCGCCGGATTGCATACACCTCGAGGTCCGTGTGGCGGCCGCTTCTTAGCTGTTTAGCTGCCTCAAAGGAGGCTGCGGTGTGTTTGGTAAGGTTGCGAAGAAGTTGGAGGGCGTGATGCTTAGTGGAAGTGTAGAGGTGTGGTTCTCTGAGGGTGTACTGGCGTTGTCGAAGGCGTCGGAAAAGTCGTTTGTGAGTGGCTAATCTGGAGTAGAAGTGGGCTCTGTGTTTCGCGAACTGCCATCCCTGAGCTTTGAGTTTGAGGTGGTGGGAAATGAAAGGCCAGTTGAGTGAAGGCATCCAGTTGGCGATGTAGTGGTGCTCTTGGATCCAGGCTTGGTCGTATGTGTCATGGGAGGTGAGTTGAATAGTGGTGTAGTGGTGGATGTTGTTGTGTGAATGCCAATAACGTAAGGAGAGTTCTGCAGAAATGGGAATGTTATTTTGGAGTTGTTTTAGTTTGGCGCGGCGATTGTGCTCGCGGTGGGGGATGCCGATAGCTGTGGAGCCGACGTAGAAGTGGCCATGTTGATGGTAGCATCGTTGGGGCTGGTCGGGATTGAAGTGGAGCTTGATGTAGACGGAATTGGAAGAGAGGAAGTTGTGGTAGTGGTAGGTGTGGGGTAAAATGTGGAGCTGGCGGAGACGGTTGCGCCATTGTTGTGAGCGACGGGTGTTGGATGGGTAAGCGAAAAGGAGGGTGATGTGGATGAGGCCGGTTGCAAAGATGGCCTCGGCGCGGTCGATGTATTGGGTGCGGTGAATGAGCATGGAAAGTGCTCGGTGCAGGTGGAAGAGTTGGGTGAGGTTGGTGTGGCTGGGTTGCTGCTGGGCCAAGATGGCGAGTCAGCAACCAATGGCTGCTCCGACTCCCACCAGCTGTTGTAGGCTGCGAATGGGGAGTCGGTTGACCCGGTTGAGGGGTAGGCCATACTTGGTGGCTGCTTCTTTTAGCTGCTGCGTGGTGACTTTGCTGGTTTGCAGCAGTCGGATGACTTCCGTGGCAGCTTCTTGGATGGTGGGTCGAAGGTAGTGACCCATTGTTGGATCTCTGGGTGGTTCCAGCCTTCGGGGATATCGTCTTGCAGCGTGGGGTGTGGTGGTTGCAAGACGTCGGTGATGGCTGGTGGTTTCGGTGGTGGTGGCGTGGGTGCGTGAGAAGGGGCGGCTGGTGCGGAAGATCGGCTGGTGTTCTTGACTGGTGTGAGTGGGTTGCCCAGGTCGTGGAGTTTCTGACGTGCACGAGCCAGTTCGTCGTTGGTAGTTTTGAGGGCGCGTAGGGCGGAGCCTTCCGCGGGTGCTGGAGAGTGGGTTTGCAGTTGGTCGATAAGCAGTTTGATGAGGGGAGCGTGAAACGCTCGGGCATGGGTAGTTTTGTTGGGAATGTCTGTGCTCTGTTGGGTGTGGAGAGCCTCCGCGATGCCGTCAAGGTCAAGGCGGTTCTCGCGGAGCTGTTGGAGAAAATGGGTCACGAAGACCGACTCCGCTATGCTCCTGGTGGCAATGAAACCTGTGAATTTGCCGTTGCTCAGGGTACGGGCGGTGAACTCGGAGGTACCGTGGTAAGCCAATTGCCACGGGAAGACCTCAAAGGTGGGGAGGCCGGCCACTCCTGCTTTTCGAGACCACTGGGTGGGTTGAATTGTACGATGTAGTTGGTGGCCGTGCAGGGTGTTGGAGTCCCAATGTTGCTCGGTTGGGTTCCAGGAGTCGGGAACAGGTGGTGTGGGAGATGGGATGTGTGGGGGAGGTGGGGTAGGCGCTGTGTTGCCACGTGTGGTGGGTGGTGGCGGTGGGCTGTGTTGGAAAGTCGATGGTGGTGGAGTAACGGGTTCGGCCGTTGGCAGGGGTGGCGGTGGCGGAGGTGGAAACTCCGGCTGTGAGGTGGATGCCTGGGGTGGGGGTGTATGCTGCGATGGCGGTGTGTACGGTGGAGTCACATACGGGTTGGAGTGGTGGACGTGATGTGTACGAAGTGCGTGAGTGAGTGGGCCGTAGGTGCCTGTGGGGCTGTAGGTGTGGTGTGCGGTGGTGGGAGGAGGAGTTGTGGTATCTGGGTTGGTGAGCTGCTGATGATGTTGCTGCATCAAATACTGATTCCAGTAGTATTGCTGCCACTGCGCGTCCATGGTGGCTGGGCGAAGTATCACTGGATCGTGGGCGTGGAGCACCGGTTGTTGATTTGAGCAAGCTGAAAATGCAAAAACAGGTGTAGGAAAGTCAAATGAGGGAAAAATGGTGGCATTAAAACAATCATGCTGTCGGAAACAGGGGTTCAAAAGAGGAAAACCCGAAAACCGCGGAGAACACAGGAATGCCGCAAAAACCCAGAGAAGTTGTCCGTGTGGATCCGAAAAAACATGTTGAGTGTCGACTGTCCACTGAAGCGCGCTGTTTTT